CCCGGCGGGAGGGGGGGGCGCCTCTCCGGCAGGGCCCCTCGGAGCGCTAACGGGAACACCTCATCCCAAACTGACCAAGCCAAAGGATGGCAGAACGGATAACCGCAGCGGAGGAGGGGATGCCGCAGCTCTTTGGGAGGGCTCCCTCCAACTTTTCACACGTGCCCAGGGTACTAGAAACAGCATATATAAACTTTTTTTTAATTTTTTTTTTTTTTTTTTGAACAGCACACCTTGCAGAGTTCCAGGTGCAACGAAGGGCTGTCTCCTGAGTTCACATGAGGTCTGGGGCAGAGCACAAAACAAGAGAGTAAGCAGTGAAGCAGTACCACCGACACCCCACAGCTGGAGATCGTGTTTCCCATGGTTCAGAGAGATACACTGTATCTTTCAAATTTCAAAACAAAAATACCTTAAAGCGCTAAATACACCCAAAAGAACAAGTTACACACTATCACACCTCCCCCCTTCCCAAAAAGGGGAAACTTTTCAGCCACTCAGTAGACCATCCCTATATTGAAAAAGGTTATTTGACAGTATCAAACATTTTGAACGTACAGCCCAAATGCAGTTGGAAGAAAAAGCTACAAACACTGCTGAGACCCACCTGTAAGGCCTAACCAGAACTAAAGTGAAAGAACAGCAAGTAATCTTTACTCACATCAGAAGGCAATGTAAATAAAATCCTGTCTTCACAGTCAAGAGTATTTTTGGTGGCTAATACATGTAAAGTTCTGTCCAAATTCTCATACAGATCAGAATGCAAAAGAATTTGTGAGACAACTGAAGAACCATAAGCGAGCACAGAATCGCTGACCCTGGCTATGAAACACGAAGGCAAGAGCTTCCATTTGGTAGGAAAGCTTACTCTGAGAACAGCATTTCTTTCCTGCTACAGACCTCATTTCTATCGCCAAAATAAACAAACATTAAAACCCCAGCAAGATAGCAGCTGTCATCTTATATTCAACAACACAGAGAGCAGTGCATGCAAAAAAAGACAAGAGCCTGCAAACCTCTGGCAAATACTTTTAGAAAATTCCTTGAAGATTAAAGGGACAGGAAATAGCATACTGACTCTTTTGATTTTTCTTCTCAAAAATTATCATTCCAGTACTATAACTGGAATTTCCACTTAGCAATACAATTTTTGTAACAAACACACTAACTACAGATATGCATACTATGAGGCAAAACTAGCCTTTAAATTGTGGGTAGAAATGCCTAACGCACCATTGAAATTATTCATAGTTTGGACTGAGCTTTGTACGATGAGTCTGTTGATGACTGGCACATTGCCTTACAAATTACAAATAACTAGCCTCTTAATGGCTTGGATTATACATTTCTACACAGAAGAGATTTAAGAACTGATTTACTGTAGCTTTATTTACTGTAGATCTAAAAGGTCTGTATTGTCCTCATAGAGAAGCATACACATTACTCACTTTCCATATTTAATACCCAAATACACCTGTTTAATATCTGAGTGTACTTTTCAGTGTCATTGTCGTCACCCCCTCACACCCCCAATGACTAGGAGAAATGTGTTGTATCATTTCATGAACATTTTCATAATAAAAAAATATGATCCTGAGGAGTCTGGAATTTATGCAGAAACCCTTTCTATAATTTGATCATTTGTTACTCATTTCGACCTTTCTATGAATGCTTACTATGGCTCACCCAAAAGTATTTAATGAAATTAGTCTAAGTCTAAATTCCAAAATACTTACATTAAGATGTCCCTGAAAGCAGCTCCCTATGATCCTTAATCACCTCCTTCCACTCCAAAGATCAAATTCACTGCCATTTACAAAATACCTTTAGGAAAAACTGTTAATTGATTCAGAGAATTCACACAGTATGCAACTAAACGCTTTCCGACAGAACAAGTTATGTTCAAATTGTACTGGTTTATTTACAGCTGTAGTTTATAAACAGTAACACAAACATCTTTACATGAAAAAAAATCTCATTGCTGAAGTAGGCACAGAGTCAGAGACTCTTCAGGATATTTTCAGAAGGGAGTAGGAAGAAGAAAACATAATACAACAGCTGCTGGGCAAAACTATAAATACATGAGTGTCGGCCCAGGTGCAATTTCATGCAAATATCTTCAACAGTACTACTGGTGTTTACTCAGATACTAAGGAAAAAAAACAAAAAAAAAAAAAGGAATTTGTTCTAGAATTAAGGTGCCCTAGCTTGATTCCTAGTAAAATAACTTAGAATAACTGTTTTTTGTAAAGGTCAGTTTAACTTATTTTACTTTCTGATGATGTACCAATTCACAAGTTTTGATTCAAATACTGGAAAACTTCACACAGCAAAGCTACTCCCCATTACCTTTATTTCACAGTTTTTGGTAATTTCCACGACGGTCTACAAAGATGCTACACCTTGGTCGTAAGGACATTCCTGTACTGAGCTTTTTAATAGAAGAACCGTTCTTGGAACAAGTGGAAAGCTGCTGATAAACAAATCACATAGTTGCCATCTCTCAAACACTAACTAATTTAGAAGATGTCAGTTAAAAGAACATAAACAAATGCTTGAATCAATGACAGCAACAGGTAACGAATACATTTACCACAGGTATACACAGCACTTGAATCTCTTCACTTTATTTGTGTGTGTTAATTTTCTTGCTGAACACACCTTTGACCAGCACATACTTCTGTACTGAACTGAAGGTTTCTAAAGGTCTAATTATCTCAGACATTTTGTTTCTGAGGAGCAAGGCAACTTGCTTTCAACTGTCATATTCTGTCATGAAGCATTAACTTCAATTTCAATGCACACACTTATCTTTAAAGAGGAAGAGCCTCAAACCTATGAAATGTAAAATTTTGCATAATTAAAAAAAATCACAACCCTGTAGTAAAAGCTTATTGTGCACAGTTCATTTTGGTATTTAAAAATACCCTTACCACCAATTCCAATTATTTAACCTAGTAGTGAATAAGACTTTTTAAAAAGTTTATTTTACAAATTGCTTGCATTTTTTCCATTTATCTGCAGCCCAAGCTGAACTTAACCATTTTCAATGACAATGAAACAGTATTTCTAAGATTTTTATCTGCTCTGCTCACAAACCTAAGTTTTAAATCAGTCCTTGATACTACCCAGTAGGCAAAATCAAATTTATAGACTGTAGGCAATGGAGACATTTTACTTTCAAGGGACAGTAACTTAAAAACCGTTTTGTTTTCAGCTGCTTCTCTGTATCTGCCAGTGCTTCATTCCTTTACCACACTTAATGCAAACCCAGCTGCATCTTCTCTTGCAAAGATATAGATCACTCACATAAAGGCTCCATTAAAAATGAAACAAACTGACCTTTATAATAAACATTTCTTCAAAACAGAAAAAGTAATAAAAAAAATTAAAAATCCTGTTCAGAAATTGATAATAATTTACCCTATCTTAAGCCTGCTACTCAGGTACACCCATCAACAAACAGAAAAATTCTCTTAAGTTAGTATTGAGTTGGGAAACAGTCAGCTTGTGCCCACATACAGTATCTTGGTTGCTTCTTCTTTATAAACTGTTCTCTACAAAGTCTTTAGTTATTAACTCTCCAAGGCATCCAATACTTTCATGATCTGTTGTTTTATGGCTTTGGTAGCATCACCTGCATTTGGAATCAAATACCTTAAAAAAAGATTAGAAAAAGCCAACATTAATTCACTATAAAATTTTTGAGTATCAATTCCATAATTCTTGTTTTGATATCTCCTCTGGCACAAACTAGGAGGAAGGAGGTGGGGAATATATTAAAGTGAAAATCTACTGAGAAGATATCATTTAATTCCTGTTTATACTATGAAACACTTTCCATTTGTGAATTTAGAACTGTTGAGGAGTACTTTACAGGCCATCCTGGAAATTAAAAGTTCTTCATTAATTGACAATGGTATAGATCAGGCAGTTCAAGGTCTCTATAGATAGCACTGTGACTGAAGCATGGCAGTCTTTTTTTTTTTTTAATTCCTATAGATAGCTCTAGATCATTTATGATTCTTTCTCTTCCGGATTTGCTCCAGTCAACAAGGTGGTGATGAAGTAAATCAACAAGCAGCAAAGTTCTCTGCAACATTTTAATTTATCTGTCTGACCTACTACCAAATTAATTTCATTCTAAGCAGCCAACAGGCATAGAAGAAATTCCCTAGTTAGGAAAATCACCTCCCACTTCTTGTGAAAACAGAGCATCCGCTGCACACAGTTCTCCCCAAGGAAGAGGATGAGAAAATGTCCAACTTTTGTCAGCAACTTTGTTAAAACAGTGCCAAGAAACAACAGGCTACCCCAGTAGAAAAAAGCCCAATAAACCCATCCCTGCAACTTCCCCCCAGTCTTAAGCATGGAAACGCTGAGCATGGCAATACTAGCTTTCAGTAACCAGGTTTCAGGGGTTCAGAGTTTTAAGGATAGTCTTCTGGACTTCTTGTACAACGCACAGGAAGAGTCAGATGTCTCAAAAACATACCACAGAGGGAAGACCACTCTCTTAAATCCCACTCTTCACAAATCCATACTTTAGGTTGCAGATAGCTGTCCACTTCATTTTCATTTGAGACATATTACAAAACGAAAACACTTGCACACATCCCATCCCCAACAACTGTCGTTGCAGACCATGGAGCTCCTCTCTGCTGGGTCTCGTAAACTCTCCTCATTCTGCTGGCAGATCTTTTTTCTAGTTCACTTCCGCATTATCTATTCCTAAATAAAAACTATTACTTTTGAACTCAACCCTGGGAATTACAGCATGCCCCTGCTTTCCAGTTGACAGCGTTCTGTATACCATTACTACTTACATCTCTGCTACTGAGACGGCTTACCTTTCAACTGCCAAAATTTCTATGCCTGAAGTATTGGTATTTCCATATTTAAAGGTGATCAGTTCCGGGTGTTTCTTCTTGGATGTGATCTTGACTACAGAGTTGAGCGCCTGTCGAGACTGTATGTAAGCCAGTCCCTTTCGTGATGGAATCTCTCTCAAACAGTACATATGAGTTGCTGTTACTAGGAGATGACTTGAAGGAAAAGAAAAATACAGGCTAAATTTGCTAATGAACTAAGTATCAGCTATTTAGAAAGCTAAATTCTACAAATAAGCCACATGGAGAGAGCTAGATAAAACAGTTCTCAAATCTAAGAAACAGTTTTAATACTTTTAAAATCTGTAATTTAGAAAGGTTTACAAAGTACTTCAGATTTTCCTCAAGTACTGTATCATAGCCATTTTTGAAAACAAGCATGGCGTCCTCAACAGCATGCAAAACCAGAGTGAGCAGTCAACATCATCACCTCAACATGACAGCCATGAGAGTTATCAACAAAGATCACGACCACCAGGCCACACACAGAGTAGGGAAAATGCCTCCACCCTTTCTCTTCCATCCTTCAATCACACCCCAACCCCATCCCTCCATCTATAGAGCGGCAACTCTACATGTGGAGCATCAGACCTAAGTTAAAAGGACGTGCTGGTACTTATGTCAATCACTGTACAAGCACTAACGTCAAGATGCTGACCTGCCAGCTCAGTTCAAGACCCACCTTTGCCTTCATGGAAGGAATGCATGTTCAACTAGTGGTGGGAACATACTAGTTGAGCTCAAACTCAGTCTGAGAAATCATACTATGACAGGTTATTAATCATACACCATACAAAATAAATCTAATGGGAAAATAAAATTAATAATAAAAGACAAGAACAGACCATGATGCAAGAGAAAGTCCATCATAATTTTCTGTTATCCAGATTCAAAAGGATTTGTACTCTTTAGGGAAGCCAAAAATACAGCAAGCATCATGTTCTGCTCCTGCAGGATTAATAAGGTCACTGAATCTTGGGGGCAAGATGGGTGGGTAGTACAAGGCACAGAGGAAAGCAGACAAGAAAAACTGGACCCACAGGTACTTGGGTCTACCTAGTCTTGAAAAATAAGCCTACATGTACAGAGAATATTTTTCTTACTATCTAGTTTTGCAAAGCAAAACTTCATACTTGGTTTTGTACATAATTACCATTCTATAACACGGCAAATGTAAGAATGCAAATATAGTAGTAACATTTTGTTCTAGGTTGTTTCACACCTTCATTTCCTAGTTTAATATAAAGAATAACATAATTGCCCAATATATTTTTTTAAATGTGTATCAAGACAGAAGTTTTCATTAAGCTTAGGACTAATTCCAGTACCTGGGAAACATATGTCCATTTTCTTTGACTTCATTACAGGGGAAGTTATACTTCACATCAGGTTTATTTATCCATGTTTGGATGTTGACGACCTCTTTTCGATCATCATCTGACATTGAAGAGCTATCAATTTCATCTATTTTGAAGGGAGGGGTAAAAAATAAAACAGAAAAGATTTTCACACAACATCAGACAACTTTTCAACTCACTTAAACCCATAGTAGCTACACTGGTGGAAACCAAGGTCCACCTAGCCACAACCAATTGTTCAGAGGGAAGGAAAAAAAAAAAAAGGCATGCATATCTGTTATTCCTCTTTCAATTCTCTCTCAGCAGTCTCAGCTCAAGGGATTTCTTAGGCTGGTCTGATTCATCCAGTCAGTAAAGTTTAACAAATCTCTTTTACATGGACTTGTCCAGACCTTCCTTGAAGCCATGTAAACTTTCTGCATGTACACCACCAATATCTTTTGGCAAGGAGTACCAAAACCATGTCAACTACATTCCAGAAAGCCTCCTCTTGTGGCTTCTAGTTTCTTGTACAAGAAGAAATAAAACATCTGTTGATCACTTTCCAGGCCAGGCACTACTTTTGTGGGCCACTTTTCCTCCCTTAAATCACCTATTTCACATAACAGAAGTCCTAATATTCAGTTATGTCTCTCGTGAAAGCCATTTCACATCTTTCCTCATTCTTCTTATCCTTCTCTGAACCTTCTCCTGTTCAAACATATTGTTTCTGAGGGAGAGGATCAAGACACAATATTCAATGTGTGCGTGAACCATAGGTTTACAGTGACATCATGACCTCTACTTTATTCTGTTCCTTTCCTTACAATTCCTAGCATTTGATTTGCTTTTCTGACTGCTAATGAGCACTTACTTACTTATAAACCTACTCCTCCTGGACACAGCCAAAACAGCCTACCATTCTGTATCTGAAACTAGAACTGTTTTTTTCCCATGTCTTTCTTGCCTCACATTAATTCATACAGAATTTCATGTGCCATTTCATTGCCCAGTCACTCAGACTAGCAAAAGACCCCTTCAATTCTTCAGACTGTCCTTACTACCTTGAATAACCTCAGATCATTAGTAAAAACTGTTATCTTTAGGTTCATCTCCTTTTCTAAGGGCATTTAAGAACATACTAAAACCCCAAAATTTCAGCACAGACCTCTGTGAAACACCCAAAACGCCTCTAAGTGTTATCCCTTTGTTGCAAAATACTGTTTTCATGTCTAAATATGGTGATTATGTTTACACAGTAATTTTGGTGCTACATTAGAACTTAAGCAATGTAGTTATCTAAAACAATGAACTATATTAAATCTATAGAAATTACTCCCAGAAATAACTTCAAAGGACACCTCTTTAAAGAGTCTTTTTCAAAGCCAGTTTTCTACACTTTGTTAAACTACTTATTTCAAAGCAATTCAGAATTATAGCCACACTTTTGGCAAGGTTTTCACTGAAAAAATACATTATCAAATTGAAAGGAATGGAACAAAATCCATCCTCATTTCACAGAATCACCAAATGGTTGAGGATGGATGACCTCTGGAGGTCATCTGGTCCAACTCTCCTTCTGAAGCAGGGCCACCTACAGCAGGCTGCGGTTATTATAGCTGATCGGAATTATTTACTACAAAAAATGCACTAAAATGTCACAAAAACAATTATACAGAAACAGGTTCACTTTTTGCATTCTTCTGTATCAAAGTAACATGTATTTCACTTCACATGTGTTGGATTTGCTTATTCAAATTATTGCAGTGATTCTGCTTACTTACCAAGTCTAATAGTGCTTTTGAAAGCAAATGTAAATAGAAATTAGTAAACAACCATTACTGAAAAGATGTTCTAGACAATTCGTCTTTGAGGACCTGGTTTTCTGAAACCACATAGACTTCGCCAAACACTATTATGGATGCTCAAAGAACTGTGCAAACTTAATTACATGGCATTTAGAGAAGTATCTTGTTAAAGCTTCTGCCTGACAGTTTCATTTTGCTCCTTCCCAATTCTTACAGCAGACAAAAAACGATCAACTGTTTGTCATCAATCTTACTGAAAGAACTCCAGATCCTGTGAATCTTTTTCATGAATCTTTCTAAATTATCTCTTTTGCAGGTCAAACATTCTTAGTCTCATTATTTGTTTCTCACATGGAAGCCGAGTATGCCTTTTGGTCACAGAACGGCTACTTGTGAGATGGTGATGGTCGGGAGTGAACAAAACAAACCAGGACAGCAGTAGGTCTGCACCATTCTAATGGTAGCACTGGTCTCAAAAAACAAACAAACCAAACCCCACAACAAAAAACCCAAACATTATGAAAAGTGTGGTGTTCCAGTTTTGTCTGTAATTTTTCAACTAGATTAAAAAAATTAAATAAAAATGGCATCTTTTTTCTACAGCATTCTGCATGCGTATCAAGAGATGAATCAGTTATTAATAGATTCAATGCTAAAAAGCAAAGTTCAAAACACTGGAGAGGTGTGCACACATTAGCCATCTTAAGTCTAGCTCCAACTATATTGTCAGAAATTCAGATTGTTATACTAACCTCCAATAATAGAGATTCAACCTGAGATCTATCAGCCAAACTAGGTCCTTTACATTTTGCTTACCGTTGTGAGTAACTGGGGTACGAGACCAGTGTAGAAAAACAGACTGTTACTAGAGAAATAGCAAGTGAACATGAACGATCCACTAAACGCATCTGTTTCCATTTCTTCTTGTTGGCTGTTTGGTGCCTACCACAAAAATCTTTTTTATTTGGTCTGCTACTATGAATTTGAAGATGATGTTTCTTTCTTGGTTGGTCCTAGGCACGACCCTAACACACACGATCAATGATAATAGAAAAATGGCATGTTGTAAGACAAAGATGTAAAATACACTCTTATGATTTAGCCAAACTTAGTAATTTTGTCTAAATAAGCCAATCTGTGTAAGAGGAAAATCTTCTACTGTACCAGTATCGTATTCTTCTTCATCTCCAATGCTGAATACTGGTTTCACACCGCGGTAGGGTTTTCCCACTCTGTCACTGCTGCTGACATGTCTGTTGGCAATGAAAAGGGCAGGAGAGGACATGGGATGGGAGAAGAAAAGTAACTTTCAAACTGATGCTATAAGTCCTACAATAACATATTAGCAAAACGTAAACACAACTCTGCAACTGAGAAGGACAAGAGAATTTCATGAAGCTGCCTGCAAGGAAGCTGTGACTGACCCATCAAGCGCTTTGGTTAGTGAAAGCATGTATTTCAGTTACTTGGCAAGGCTGACTATTATAACAAATAAAGTGAAAAGAAGTACTTTTCTATTTAGAAAATAGAATGTCACCTTCTCAATTAACAAAATACATTAGAGACTTGAAAACTGAGAACATACTAAGAAGTTTCTAGCATGAAACTGAAATACTTCTGGACAGTCAGGACAGCTTTACAAGGATGCCAAATTGGGATGAAAAATGAGGACTATTAACTAACATGTCTGGAATCTAATTTTTCTAGTTAATTCCTCAAAAGACAACAAGATACCTTAAGCATTTCAAAGTAGAGTTATTATAAACCATCCACTTTAGGGTGAACTCTGTCCACTACTTTCTCCAGCATGAGCCAAATCCTGAAATCTTTGGACAAGCAATTCCTACTGCTAAAATCCCAGCATCACTGAGATTTCTGCATAGATATTGCCTTCAAAAATCACATTTAAATCTATTTCTACAGATCATATTAAATGACACAAACACATACAACTGAGTCTTAATGTTTGACAGTAACAGTTGGAAATCCTGAGATACTTTAAAGCTCCAGGTCAGAGTGCTGTGATTACATGGTCACAGCTGTCATGTTAAAAGTTCTGACCCTCAACCATTGAGAATACCTGAAAAATGAGAGAAAACCTAAAGGTTCAGAGGGCTACAAAACCAGTAATTGCCAAAAAAAAATACACAGTTCATGATTTTAGCCTTTAGGACTGGCAACATACATTAGTTTAAAAAACAAAACCAAAACATGACTGTCCCTTTGCCCCATTTCAATTTCTATAACCTCCCTCCCCATCAAGTGTATTGATATTTCCTATAAACGATAAGCTCTAGTTCCTGTTTTAAGTATATTAACAAACTCCAGTTTACATGCTACTGTAGAACCAAGCTGGAGAGGTAACCTCTTTAGTAATATATAAATGAATGCTAGTACTTAAGTATACCTGAAAGTGTATTTGAAAGTTAAATAAGAAACCTACACTTTCTATGGCTAAAATTTACTAATGTAGACAAAACAAGGAAATGTTTACTAGGGAAAAAAAAAAACAAAAACCAGAAATGCATTCTACAATGATACAAGAAAATAAACATACAAAAACATGCTCATTAGTGTTTAAGACAATAAGCATCAATGACACTGACAATTCAAGAGGGCAGTGCTTCTATATGGAGGCTTTTGTAAATATGCTTTAGTAATACATAACCAATCGAGCAAGAAGAAGCACATTTAAATAGTGTCAGTCTGAATTACACAAAGAGGATTTAAGATAATCTCATTGGTGTTTATAGATTAAAGTTAGTCAAGACAAAAGAAAGTAAAAAGCTACTTTATAACAACCTGGTAACATCTTAAACTAGAAATGGAATTCCTATAACCAATTCATGGAAGGTCATCATTATATTGTTACAAATTGAATGAAATTCCCTACAATGGCAAACCTGCAAAAGGAAATATATTGGTGATAAACAGAAAGTGGATCTAATTGAATGGATGGGAAAAGAATGCCATTCCTAGTTTTCAAGAGCTGCAATTTTAAGAGAATAGTCTAGTGATTCATAGTGTGAGCAAATTTATTATTGCATCTTCCAAATGAAAGAAGATAAGCAATACGAGTGAAAAGAGCAAGTCACATAACTGAATTATAATCTCAAAATATAAAAACTTCTGGGTTACAAATACAGATTCAAGTGTCTTTCAGCTGCTGAACACAGTCACCAAGTGTTTTAAGTTGGAATTTTAACACTTTCTTACCATATTCTAAAAACTGATCAACAAAAAAAAAAAAGGGAAAAATCCTCATGACCTTCAGAATTTTTAAATTAACAAGATATATTATGTGCTGTTGGGA